GGCCGCTCGGTCACGGCCATCGCATCCTGACGTCAGTCAGCGGGGGCACAGCAGACGCAATGGGCAGAGCGAGCTGACGTTTCTGCAGAGCCAACACGGTGCAGCCAGGTCAGCAAAAGGCAGACAAAGGCGCTTGAGCCAAGCGGCGTCCGACCCTGTGCGGGAGCCGTTTGCAGGGCACGTTTCTGACGCCGCTGGCAGAAAGAGGACCGACATCACGACACCAGGTCACTGCCACAGCTCATCCGCACCAGAGGAGAGACCAGCACTGAGGGACCATTGCAGCTGCAGGAGAGCTGTGGACCAAATCCTCTGCTTAAGTATTTCTTCTTCTAGCAATATAGTATCTATTTTTTTAATATTAGGCTGATAATTTCTTAAATGCCCATGTAGATTTTTTAGCATTTGTGTGCTCTTTAAAACACTGTTTACAAAAAGGATGAGCTCTAATTATAATAAAATAAACACAAATGGAACCAAATCCGGTCTGAAATGGCATGTTGCCTGCCAGATACCACTATAGACATTGGAGTAAAAGAACAGAGTAAAACTATTTCAGGCACATTTCAAGGTAAACAAGCACCCTCTATTATATGAACACATGCTGCTGTTAATCCCACGGGCAAGCACTCATTCAGCACAGGCCTTGATACGATTACACACAGAATAATTAGCAGGCCTTTGCCCACCGCAGCCCGTCTTCTGAGAAGGGTTGCACTGTTGGCAAATGTGGGCGATGACAACGGATGTCACCACCAAAGTTTTATCCCAAGGTTGCACGGATTGGCCGGGCCATTTTTAAAAATCGTAAGCATTATTATATGTTGCATGCTAGTGATGTAAAGTATTACTTTTTATATTTTTATTATAAATTCTACAGACCCTACCTGAAAAAGCCAAAAACAAATATAAAACAAACAAACAAACAAAAACCCCAGCAAGCATAAAATTTACCAAGGTTTTTTTTCCCCATGATTTATCACGTTGCAGTCTCTTCCACTTTTCAATCTCACTTTGCTTAGAAAACTAAAAGACAAATGGCAGAGAGGGGTTATGGTTCCCCTCCCCCCACCCTGAAAGAAAGTTTGAAGCCTTGTTTCTTAGGTGAGTTAAACAAATGCAGGCAATCCGAGGAAGCCATGGGTTTTTCCCCAGGTGATCCTCAGACCGTGATGTTTCGTCCTTCACATCCAAATCCGCAGCGGTGTGCAAACCCCAGCTACATGGAGTTAATTTCCTGAGAGCCATCATGCTCAGAGGCACCACACTCTTTGTTAATGTACTTTTTAACGGGCAGCAGATACCCCTTGGAATCCTTAAATTTGAACTTGTAGTGGTCTAGGTGTTGAGAATGAGGAAACCCTCGGGAAGACAGGTTTTTACAACACTGGTGAAAAAAACAGAGTAGCTAAATACACGCCAATGCACACACATATACACATGCAGACACACACATATATATCTTTACACATATATATAACATACATTTACATACATACATACATACACACACACACTTGAGAGCTGTAACACCAGGGAAAGCTGGGCTAGTAAATAAGGCAGCCCTAGTGAGAAGTGACCCAGTTAGAATCACAGAATCACAGAATGTTTTGGGTGGGAAGGGACCCCCAGAGGTCACCCAGCCCAACCCCCTGCAGGAGCAGGGACACCTTGAACCACAGCAGGTTGCTCACAGCCCCGGCCAACCTGGCCTGGAATGTTCCCAGGGATGGGGCCTCCACCCCCTCTCTGGGCAACCCCTGCCAGGGGTTCACCACCCTCACTGGAAAGAATTTCTGCCTTAGGTCCAGTCTAAACCTACCCTGCTTCAGTTTAAAGCCATCCCCCCTTGTCCTGTCCCAGCTGGCCCTACTAAAAAGCTTGTCCCCCCCTTTCCTCTGGGCCCCCTTGAAGCCCTGACCGGCCGCACTCAGCTCTGCCCGCAGCCTTCTCTTCTCCAGGCTGAACACCCCCAACTCTCCCAGCCTGGCCTCAGAGCAGAGGGGCTCCAGCCCTCGGAGCATTTTAGTAGCCCCTCGGATCATTTTAGTAGCCCTCCTCTGGCCCCGCTCCAACAGGTCCATGTCCTTCTTGTGCTGAGCCCAAACTCCAATTAGCATAGCTTAGTGATTGCTGTGGACTGAGCCCTGCCCAAGGGTGCAGAGGGCAGGGGTACCAACAGAGGTGGAAGGTCTCAGGAGACTCTTGTTTTCCTCTCACTCCTTCCTTGAACCACACGAGAAACCAGTAAGGACTGCAAGAAGCATTAAATCTGGCCAATTATGCAGGTGGTGGATGTGGGATTCATCTCACCCGATGAGCAGCACTTAAAGCTTGCAGTGCTAAAATGCCACGCAGTGCTAGTAACACTTCAGCAGTCAGGAGATGTAAAACCGCTTTTGAAAACCGAGCGTTAAAAATGGATGAAAATGCTGTCTCTTCTTCTGTAAGTCCACAACCCCGCGTTTGTTTGCATTGCTGAGGGACTGCGTAATGCATTTCAAACAAACAAAAAACAGAATAGGAAACGAGGTCTCTTTCACAGGGCAATAAACATCACAAAAGGAGAAGCTGCTTGGCGCCAGCGCTGCAGAAGCCTTCTGCCCGTTAGGAGGGCGCTGCAAGGGGAGGCCAGAAAAGATTGTTTAATGGAGAGAAGAGGATGGCTTAGACCGTTCCCTCCTTGGCAATCTGGAAGTTCAACACCCCATGATGAGCAAACTCTTCAGCCAGTGGGCGTTGGCCATTGCCGCTGACATACAATGACAACACTGCAGAAGGGTGAGTCTTTCACAGAGTTCAGAAAAAAATGGCATGGGTGGCCTTGTGCATTTTAAGCTGGAACATCATTATTTTGTTTCAGGTTGTTCCTGTTGAAGCTTTCCAGCGAGTATCTCAGATAAAGCAATGAAAACAAATATGCAGCCTTTGCTGACAAAAGGGTAATGGCATTTTCCACAGCCAGGAGATAACTGCAGCCAAGCTGAGAAGGAGGGTTTTCTCCTCGTGGAAGCTGTAGTCTTGCTTGCGCTGATTCACATATGACTAACTGGCCCATGTCTTCAGGACAGCGAGGGCACCTAATGCCCAGCCCACTCATCAGCCAAGCCTGCACAGAGCTGCTGCCGATGTTATGAGTGGCTTTAGGTGCGCAAGAAACTGCAATTTTCTAGGAGAGGTAGATTTATAGAATCATAGAATCGCTTTAGTTGGAAAAGACCTTTAAGATCATCGAGTACAACCTTTAACCTAACCCTGCCACCCCACCACTAAACCCTGGCCCTAAACACCTCATCCATCCTTCTTTTAAATACCTCCAGGGATGAGGCCTCGACCACCTCCCTGGGCAGCCCATTCCAGAGCCTGACAACCCTT